GGAAATGTGCTATTTAATACAATGCAAGATCGATCATTGTAGCATTTATAAGGAGAGATAAGTAAAAAAATCCTGGTGGAATACCTTGCTAAACAATCGCTGAACCAGCCTAATAATTTTTTAGAGGAACCAGTCCTAAATTCTTACATTTTAACGATATTTCTAATTAAGCAGACTCTTCTCGTTAAATTATCATTGAAAATCGTCATATTTTAAAGCAGATAAAATATTCTAAAATTTCCTTTTTTTGACAATCTACTGTTGGACTTATACGAGTAGCGCTGACTTTTACAGTCGATTGTCATTACTGTAAACAATGTCATGTGTCCCCAAAATTTAAACCTTTCTCGACTCCCCCGCAAAAGAGCGGTAGTAATTTAGATAACTGCGAGGTACTTATTGGTAGCCGCGGTTTTACGTATTTAGCTGGATGTTTGATCTATCTCCATGGAATCCTTTGTTTTTTCTCTATTATGTGGAATAATTCATTGGACAATTCTAAGTTCTTGCCTTCTACAACTTCAAGAAAAACAGCTCATTCTCTTAGAAATATTCTGAATAAAGAAAGACTATTATGCCTTTCAATGGAACAGAAAATGCAAAAATAAATTTTGGATGTGATAGACAATAAACATATTATTTGGAATGTGATGAAAAGTCCTGATGAAATCACAAAAATTTTGCAAACTTTTGAAGCAAGACAGCAGGAAACCCAGGAAGAGAACTCAAAACTAAAAAAAGAATTAAAAATCATGTGCTCTGCAATGTGTTACTATAAAAATCTGACAGGTAACAATATGTATTCCTTAAATAAAACGGAGATATCACTTCCTTGGAAAGAAAAATCGTCTCTTCAGAAAGACAATTATGAACAAACTCAATGAAACAGAAGTGGATGGTTTCATTAAAACTAACAAGACAATAAATGAATCAGGATTTTAATAACTCAGGGTTTTAATTAAAAACCGAATTCAAACTGATTAAGGAAAATGACTTGAACAGTTTAAGAAATGCAATATTTTTACATGAACAAAAAATGAAAGTCTGTAAAAAAAAACGAGGATATACAGAAAAAAAGTTATTCAAAATAAACGAAACAATATTTGAAGAAAAAAAAACGCAGCGTTTAAATATAAACGAAGGAAACTTTGTGTCTTTTTCGACTTTGGTCAATGCAACAATTCAACAAATTCTAGAGGGTCAAATCAACGTTTACAAACCACCGATGAGCATATCGTGTAACAACACTTTATATTTTTTAAACATAAAATTAACATAAATAGCAATAGGTTTTTATTTCCTTATAAGTATACTATGTAAGAATTTAAATGTTCAGATATTTATTTTCATTTATTTAACTTTTACTAGATACTTGTGATTGTTCCTTTTGCACAAATATAGATAGCTTAAATAAACAGAGGATATCCATTTTTTGTTGTTCAATATAGGATATATTTCACGAGTGGGAAAGTTTTTTTTTAATATAGTCATGAGTGAGTATATTTCGTAACATATCTTGATTAAAAGCTAAAGATTGTGACAATGCAAAAATATGTTTTAACTTGCTAATTAATGCAAAAGAAAAACAATAAATGTATTCATCAAAATGATAGATCCATAATTAGCTGGAATAAAATACATATAGTATAAAAAAAAATCCTCTATCGAAAATTAGAATTATTTACATTTCATTCAAGACCATTTTAAGGCTTTAACAAGGTGCAATTAAAATTTAGGAATGGATATAGAAAGAGACTCTCCAGGTATTCTACCAAGTACAGCAGAATAACATCCAGACACCCGGAAAACATCCACTAACTGTCTTTACCGCTCTTTCTTTCATTCAAAGTCCTATGCTGGGGTAACATGATTGATTGACAGATTTATATTGTTTAATACCCAGTCGGATATATTTCAGCCATACTTCGGTGGTGCTTGGGTAACAATAGTGCAAACAACATTCATATCTAGTATATATTCAAAGGCCAATTCTATCTCGGTATGGTTGTGTTCAGACAGAGATTGAAATCTTGAATAATAACCTGATAAAAGTTGTTTTAACTCCAACCATCCCCGATCCGCCATGGACCTCCGAAACAACGGAGGTGGGATCAGGTGCCATGGAGGAGTGAGCATCCCCTGCCCACCGGTCACAACGTCGTGTGCCCCTTATCATGATCAGGAAATAACGGAAAAAATCCGTTGTCAATTCAGTGTATAAATAATGGACTTACAATTGGTATGAAAAACGTCAGTCAGCATTTGACTCAATTATAAATTGTATTTGCTGACAAGGTCATTGTATCGACCATAGAACTTACGAAATTATGACTTTAAACGAGACTGATGATATTCTTGTTTCATTCACTTGCTTGTCAATATTTTACCTCGTTTAAGAAATTGTTCATACGTAGAGCATGCTCTTGCGTATCGAATCAACTGAGATATATATACTCCGTATGCAGGTGATGAAGGTATATTACTGCATAAATAAGGGAAGTTGACGATAGAAAAGTTAAAGTCATCACGTTTATCATATAGCTTGGTTTTAAGATTATTTTTAGATTACCAGTAGTATCTTTTTTAAATAAAATATCCAAATATGAAGCAGAAGTGTCGGACTTTGTGATATCTTTTATCTCAAGCTCACCAGGATATATCGTATCGACGTAGGAATGGATATTGTCATTATTAATTGACAATACGTCGTCGATATATCTAAAGGTCGAGTTGAAGGCCACAGCAAGTGTTTTCTTCTTTTCACGCATAAGATCTTGCATAAATTCTGTTCATAAAAATATGTTGATTATAACTTAAGAGTTTATTTAATGTTTTTATAAAGTTCTTAACACTCATTTTCAGAGCTGAACATATTCTTACAATAGATGTACATCTACTATTGCAGTTATTTCAGTTTCTTTAAATGTTTAACAACTAGCTTGAAGAGTTGTCATTCTTTGCAAATATTTGTAAATATGAAAAGAAAAATTTCAATATAGCAGTTTTTCTTAATTGTAAAAAGTTTTGTTATACAATTAAATACTTTGACAAAAACTTATTTTTGAAATGTATCAATCAGAAATTTCAATCATTTTGAATTTATTTTTTCTAGAAAGAATTGATAAAACTAAGATTTATTCCTTTTGATATAAAATTTGATATAAAATTTTCTGAAAGCCTCAAATTAGTTGAATCAATTTATTTCTGATATACATATTTTAAAACGGAGAAAAAATAACTATTTTTGCATTGTTGCTATGGGAAAATTCCTGTTGCCATGGAGATTAATAATAATAAATTATTCTTTCGTTTTAAAATTATATGAGAGTTATTTTCTTTTACTCGAAAAATTGCATCTGCCACAAAAGGATAAAAAAATTTAAGATTTTTTACCCAACCTTTTTCCATTTTTCACTTTTTAGTTATTAAATTATCCAATTTTGTTGCTAGGCAGTGGGATTTTAAAAAAAAAAAAAAAAAAAAAACCCACGCTTTTAAAGTCAATCTGTAAAAGAGAAAATTCTCTACTTTTATGTGAAAGTCATGCAAAATCTGTATTAGCTTGGTATTTTTTTTTTAATTGGCCTTGAATATTGTTAAAATCAAGGAAAATGCTGAATCAGCAAAAATACAAAACATAATTACATATATTTTAATGTCTACCATAGTTCTAGCTTCAGATAAAATATTAATGTCTCGTGTGTTTTATACAAATAAAGTGTGTGTCTTGATCATAGCTGTAAATGAGAATTATTGTTGAAGTTTTTATATATAATATCAGGTTTTAAAGATCAGTAACTTTCAGTGCCTTCCAATAGAAAAAGTGGCTGGTTGCTAAGGAAATTACTTTGATCAGGGTTGCCATAGTAAGCATGATCCAACACATTTTTTATTTTACATACATGATTCATAGGTCAAGAGAAATCTATGTGTGGAAAATCCCTAACCCTAACCCTAACCCTAACCCTGAATTCCGAGAACCTGAGTGAATCACCTTTTGCATGATTTTTATATGGACTGGTACTTAACAGATTTGTATTGTGGAAAGATTTTTTTATATTAATCATTGTTCGTTACCTTCAGCTGTTTATTTGAACTTATCCAAAGGGTAAATATAATTTCCATGAAATACGAAAAGTTAGTTCACGGGTCTTTGGCATCTTCAGTATCAAACACATTTGTTACTGATTGGAAAGAAACGTGTCTTGTCCGAAGGGGTATTAAGAAAGTTCGTTCCGGGATGAAATATTTTCAAAAAATATTCAAAGTACTGCTTAACTAAAGAAAGGAATTTTCAAGTCTGACAAAATCACAAGAATGTGCTTTAGATTTATGGCAATTCCTTACTAGCAGAGAGTTATAGGATTTTTTTCCAAATGGAAATATAAATGACATCTTTAAAGCATCCGAATGAAAGAAATGCTGGTCATTTTGGGTGAAAATAAAGAATAGTTTTCTTTTGTGTCTTCCTAGCTTATCTTGCATCACACAAGATGATGAGCGTAGGTATAAGAACGATATATCACTTTTCAAAAGAATAGGTTTATCCTGTTGAAGAATATCATAGTTTTGAAAATTTTTGCTTAGCATTTGGAAGGATGTTTGACTGTGTACTTAATATTTGTCACAAAGTGGCATCACTAATTTTTCTGAATAGACATCATTTGTTTTAAATGCTTGATCTCCCCGTATTGATTCAACAAAAGACAGTTAAAATCTCATCAATAGCAAGAATAGACTTTTTAAACATGAAATATCACAAATTGTAAATATCTTCTCGTCGTATTTCTTTTTGAAAATAAAATAAAAATTTGGAACGAACCACCCTTTAGAAGACAATGCTCTTTCCAGGTTACTCTAAACGTTACACAGCATCAAGATGAAATAACAGCAACAATTTATAGCTCGTGACTTTAAGTGTATTTATTCCTAACCAAAGGTATTCTTCATGATAAATATAGCCGACTATATAATTGCACTTTATCTCTTTGTTCTTGGCTTATTCGTTTTACGTTTTTATCAGTAACAAGCATTGTTTAGAAGTTATAAGGGATATTGCCTGATGAAAATATTCACAATGCAGTGCAATTTTGTTCGGTGTTTGATCTTTCTCAGTGGAATCCTGTGTGTAACCTCTACTATGGGGAATAATTCATTAGACAATTCTAAGTCCTTGCCTTCTACAACTTCAAGAAAAACAGCCAATTCTCTTAGAAATATTCTGAGTAAAGAAAGACTAGTACGCGTCTCAATGGAACAGAAAATGCAAAAATTAGTTTTGGATGTGATGGATAATAAACATTTTATTTCAAATGTGATGAAAAGTCTTGATGATATCACAAAAACATTGCAAACTTTTGAAGCAAGACACCAGGAAAGGGATGAAGAGAACTCAAAACTTAGGGAAGAATTGAAAATCATGCGCTCTGCAATGTGTTACACTAAAACCCTGACAAGTGACAATATATATTCCTTAAATAAAACAGAGATATCACTTTCTCGGGAAGAAAATTCGTCTCTTCAGAAAGACAATCATAAACAAATTCTGGAAAATGCAGACAATAAAACAGAACTGGATGGTATCATTGAAACTAACAAGACAATAAACGACTCAGGATGTATGCAGTTAAAAGCCGAATTCAAACTGATTAAGGAAAATGACTTGAACAGTTTAAAAAATGCAACTTCTTTACATGAACAGAAATATGAAAGTCTGTCAAAAAAAAACGACGATATACAGAAAACATTATTTAAAATAAACGAAACAATATTCGAAGAAAAAAACGCAGAAGACTTTAATACTCGTTTAATTTTAAACGAAGGAAACTTTGTGTCTTTCTCGACCTTTGTCAATGCAACAATTCAACGAATTTTAGAGGGTCAAAGCAATGTTTACAAACAACTGATGGGCATATCGGGTAACTACACTTTATATTTTTAAACATAAAGTTACTATACACAGCAATAAGTTTCTATTTCCTTTATCAGTATACTGTAAACGTATTATATTTAGCGTGTAAAATATTTGGCGGAAATTGACTTTTGAATAAGTTAGCGAAAAATTGATTTAGCGCATTTCCTCAATTTCTTATTTATGTGTTTATGTACAAGACATTTAGAGTTGTACTTGATGTAGCAGTTGCTGCGTTCCGCCAAAGCCGCTAAAAAGAATCTACAGCCAAATATAATACGTTTACAGTACTATGTAAGAATTTAAATGTTCAGTTATTTATTTTCTTTTATTCAACTTTTACTAGATACCTGTGATTGATAATTTTGCACAAATATAGATAATATCTTAAATAGAAGATATCCATTTCTTGTTGTTCGTGTTTGCACTGCTCTTATTTTGTATAATGTTTAATGGACGTTGAGATTGAATGCTGTTCGTTATTTCCATATCCTTCTTGTTCAATATAGAATTTATTTCACGACAGGAAAAAGTTGTTTTTTTTTTTAAAATATAATCATGAATGAGTATATTTCGTAACATATCTTGATTAAAAGCTAAGGATTGTGCCAATACAAAATATGTTTTAACTTGATAAGTAATGCAAAAGAAAAACCGTAAAAAATTCATCAGAACGACAGATCCATAATTAGCTGTATTAAAGTACATGTACATATACATAAAAAATCCTCTATCGAAAATTAGAATTATCTACATTTCATTCAAGACCATTTTAAGGCATTAAGATTTAGGAAAGGATATAGAAAAAGAATTATTCTACTAAGGTATTCTACCAAGTACAGCAGAATCAAATCCAGACACCCGGAAAACATCCACTTACCGTCTATACCGCTCTTTCTTTCAAACAATGCGGGGGTTACATGATGGATTGATTGATTGTTTGATATTGTTTAACGCCGCCGAGTTGGTAATATTTCAACCATACTACGGTAGTGTTAGGGTTACAACAGTGCAAATAACATTCATATTAAAGCCATTTCTATCTCGGTATGGTAATGTTACAGTCAAAGAGATTGAAATCATAAATGATAACCTGATGAAAGTTGTTTTAACTCAACCCCCAACCAACCCCAAAGTTTCTAAGAGGAGTAAACACTCCTTGTTTGAAAATTTGAAATTTGTATTTTGAAACTTTGTTTTAATAATTCTTTGTATTTATTCCAGGGAAATTACAGTCTCCTTCGATCGTTAGTGGTATTGCATTTTATGCCTACATGGCTCAAAATACAGATAAAATATCTGGCAGGCGTAATCTGATATTTGATGTCGTCAGAACTAACGTTGGAAGCGGATATAGGTCTGGCACGGGAGTATTCACTGTTCCAGAAACTGGACTTTATGTGTTTACTTGGACAATACGATGCAATGAAAAAAGTTCCCACTCGACACAGTTGATGGTGAATTATGATAATCTAGGAGTAATTCATACTTTTGTCAGTCGTTTTTCCGACATGGCAGGGACAGGAATCGTAGTTGCACGCGTCACGATAGGAGACAGGGTCTTTGTTAGAACACATTTATATTGGAATTCTGGAATAATTGTCAGTAACAAGGCAGGGAGGTCATCATTTGCTGGATGGAAAATTGCTTGAGCATTATTCCTTTAGAGGGAAATGACATTCATTTGATCGTATTTTTACGAACCTGGCTGCCTGTCTAAAAAATACAATTTCTATATTAGATTGATTAAACCTACATTAGTTAGTATTACTTACATTACTAATGTTATCCTAAAATTGAATGCTCACCGACAGTTTTAAATATATGTTTGTTTTTTTTAAATTAAAAGATATACCAGTATTCATCATAAACACAACTGTGAAACATTGCAGCAGGTTTACAACATCCACCAGTCTTTGGCTATTTGACCAATCATGACCTATTTCTGCTACAAACATAATCTTGACTAATATACATTTATACTACCAAAAATGAGCTGTCACTTCTACAAATATATGCATGACTAGTATAAAATACTACCAAAGGAGATGCTACTGTTGAAACATATTCATAACTAGAATACAGTAGCGCAAAAAGAGTGTTACTAATTCAACGTATTCGTATCGTATATGATATAATACTGCCAGAATTGAGCGTTTCTGCTTCATTCATGAGTGTAATTAAGAAATAAACAATGTTATTTAGTCAACATGGCGTTATGCATAGCGATTGCTTTGCAGGCATATTCCATGAGGTACACTAGCGCCTCATAGAAAATATCCCAACAGAGCTATTGCAATATACTCATGGGTACCAATTGCGCTCCGTTATTAGCAGACCTATTTCTATATTCATATGAAGCAGAATCTGTGCAATATCTTATGCGTGAAAAGAAGAAAGCATTTGCTGTGGCCTTCAACTCGACATTTAGATATATTGACGACGCATTGTCAATTAACAATAGTAATTTCCATTCCTACGTCGATACGATATACTCTGAAGAGCTTGAGCTAGAAGATACCACAGAGTCTGACACATCTGTTTCTTACTTGGATATTTTACTTGTAAAAGACGTTAATGGTAATTTAACTATCAAGCTATATGATAAACGTGATGACTTAAACTTTTCTATCGTCAACTTCCCATACTTATGCAACAATATACCGGAACCTTTATCACCTTCATACGGTGTATATATATATATATCTCAGTTGATTTGATATGCAAAAGCATGCTCTACGTACAAACAATTTCTAAAACGAGGTAAATTATTGACAAGCAAGTTGGTGAAACAAGAGTATTAACAGTCTCGTTTAAAGTCATCATTTCATTAGTTCTATGGTCGATACAATGACCTTATCAAAAAATACAATTTATCATTGAGTCAATTGCTGACTGTCGTTTTTTCATATTTGTTGTTAGTCCATTATTTATACTCTGATTTGAGGCCGATTTTTTCCGTTATGTCCCGATCATGGCAAGGAGCACACGGCGGGTGTGACTGGTCAGCAGGGGATGCTCACTCCTCCATGGCACCTGATCACACCTTTGATGTTTCGGAGGTCTGTGTTTGACCTGCTCCTATTTTGTATTGTTTAATGGACTTTGAGATTGAATACTGTTCATTATCTCCATATCTTGCTATTCATAATGTCATGTTCGTGGAATAGTGGGTGTTTATACTTATATTTGCATTATGTGATTTTGTCAAAAATATGAGAGGAAGTTCTGGCTTACATAAGAGTAGGGCTGTTTGTTTTCAGTAAAGAATAAAAACAAAATGAATAAGTGTGATAAATCAACCTTTTTTTCCAATAAATGGTATTTAATTCTCACGCATAGTTATCTGGATACAAAACCGTAACGTCTTCAAATTATCCTATTTTTATGCAGTTGTATTGAAACTTTCCAAGAAAAATTAATAATTTAACAGTATGAGAATGCACTTATATTGATTAAAACTTAAGGGTTTATTTAATACGTTTTTTTTTATGTTCTTAAAACTCATTTTCAGAGCTGATTTTTAAAATACATATACATCTACTGTTACAGATATTTCAATTCCTTTATAGGTTTAACAACCTTGCTTGGAGAATTGTCGTTCTCTGCAAGATATGTTTTAAGGACCCTCTCTACACTGCACCCTAATTTCAGGGTACTTCCGTGTAGTTAGACTGACCCACCATTTGACATAAAAAAGAATAAATTGTAATCTGCACCGTATGGTAAAATTTTAAATAAATCCATGTATTCTAAATATTATGTTAGACCAAGATAGAGCAATTGAAAACTTTATTTGCATGTATTTTCTCCATTTGAATAATCAAAAGCAATTTTTCTTTGTCATTACTTCACTGTCTTCAAAGATTTTTCCTGGATAAAGAAGGCACGCTCCCTATATTAGAAATGGATTAGTTGATTTCAAAATAGCCTCCTTTACATTATATAATTTTCTCAAAGTCCAAAAAACATTTTTCGCCAGTGTATAGAGGGTTCTTAATATGAACAGAAAAATTAAAATGTAGCATTTTTTTTTCAATTGAAAAAAGTTTTATTATAAAATTAAATACTTTGACAAAAATGTATTTTTGAAATGCATAAATAAGAAATCTCAATCATTTCAAATTTATTTTTTCTGGAGAATATTGTTAAAACTAAGATTTATCATTTTTCCACAACATTTGAGATATAATCTTCTGAAAGCCTCAAATTAGTGGAGAAGTTTGTCCTCTAGGTCTGTGGGTTTGAAAAACGAATTCCACTAATAGCAGAAAAAAGTTCATAAAAGTCATTCATTATAAATTCGGTAAATGACTTTACAAATACATGTTTTCTGTCTAAGAAGATACCATTCATTCCAGGTCACACATGATGCAAGATGATGTGATAAAAATAACTTATAGCATTTGACATTTAGTGTTTCTGTTTCCTATACCCAAACGTGTTGTAGCAATATAAATAGAGCTGTCTAAATCATCTACTTGTAATTGGATGAATCATATTGCCTTTCTATCAGTAAAGACCATTGTTTTGTAACTATGAGAAATATTGTCTGATAAAAGTAATTACATTAAATTAAATTTTAGTTGGATATTTGATCTCTCTTAGTGAGAATCTGCGATTCTGCGATTACTGTGAAAAATCTATCGGACAATTCTGAATCCCTACCTTCTACCATGTCCGGAAATGCATTCCTTTCTCTAAGGGATATCCTGAATAAAGAAATCATATTACTCCTCTCAGGAACAGAAAATGAAGAAATTCGTTATGAATGACATAGATATATTGTTGCCAATCTAATAAAAGAGACGTGTGATATCACATAAACATTGTCAGCTCTTGAGATAAGACATCAGAGAAAGAAAGATAAAATTCAAGGCTAAAGAAATTGAAAAATCAAACGTGCAGTTTTAAAAATCTTACATGAGACTATATCTTATATATAAAACTTTAACAGAGATATCACTACCTTGGCAAGGAAGATTGATCTTTTTGGAAAGAGAATTATAAACAAGTCTGGAAATTACAGACATTAAAGCACAAATGGAAAATTTTACTAACACAGGACTCAAGAACAGCTTGGGGGCTAATCAAACGAAGGCGGACTTTTGTGAAAACTTTTTATTGAAAGTTATACTATAGCCAAATTGGTAGACATTTTAAACAATAAGTTTGAAATGTTTGAATTTGGAATTACAAATATATCATGAATGATAAAAGAAATACGCACGCTAACTCATGATTCCCGCCTACATTTTAGAACTATTTAATTAAATATAAATAGAAATTCGGTCATAAAATCTTTGTTTAACACAAAAAACAGTTCAACCGATGAATTTCTTAATACCAGCGCTAAACAGTAAATTATCCATAATTCCAGCTCTTGAAAAAAGGAAGGTAGACGATAATTTCATTGATATTGGATTTCCAAGCATCACCATATTTTGAAATAGTATTGGATATGATTAAATGTTCCATATACCTTTTCTTATGTTTTAGGCAAGTAAATAAAACAAAATATATCATTAAAATATAAAGTTTCAGTTGTAAATCGCTTTGAAATTGGTGGAAAATATCTTTTTTTTATCAATTAACAATCCCCCCGTGCCACACAAAAAGCTTTCGAATGAATCTTTGAAATAACATTCCATATAACCTTGTAAAAAGTAATTTTTGTGCCACGGGGAAAAAGATGTTTTAAAAATTATTTTCCGTTTTTCGTTGACAAGTTTTACCAAAATTTTAGAGTTATCTCTCTTTGTTTTCCGAAATAAGTAATGTTCTATGGAAATCCATATAATTATCGATAAAAAATATTAAAATTCACCGCAAATTTTACCTTTGAAAATTGACTGAGGAAGACAAGAAATAAGACGTCGTAGAATATACAAGCGACTCCTGATATAATTTAGCGTTCTTGGGAAAACTCCAGGAAAAAATAAAAAAAATATATAGGGGAAACAGGAAATAGGTTAAGAGTGACACATGTTTTTGTATGTAAATGGAATAGGCGGGTATTTATTGAACACTGAATCAGGCGATATAGGGTCTCTTGGACAGTAAAATCTTATCAAAGGACGTAAAAACAATTAATAAAAAAATTAGCAGTTTACCATTGCGGACCCCGCGAAAGCAAAATTACCCGATATGAATTCGAAATACCAAAAAAACATCATATGCTTCAAAAACTACTGTAAATGCAAATGGTATTGACAGATTTTAGAAAGTTGGTTATTGACATAAAAATGTTAATTTTAACATTATTAAAATGTATCATTTATAACATGTCTGTTTTGAAATATTTACTCCAATAACTTTTTTATGTTGTTTTCATAAAGCAATATAGACCGTGTAATTACAAAGAGTATGTACAAGGTGTCCCAAAACATATGTTACACTTTCAATTATCTATAACATTATAAAACTCAATTCATTCACAAAGATATTTTGTCAAAATCTAGTGTATTAGCATACATTTTTTTCTGACAAACTTTCAAGAGATTCTGTTAAAAAGTCTGGTAATTTTGATGTCCTAATGACGTCATCATATTTTTAGTATTGAACCTTCATGTGAACAGCTTGTAGAAATTGTAAAACTTTACTATAAGTTTAAATCTGCTAATTTGTTCACTTGAATAATGAGAAAATAACATTCTGCGATGAAAGTGCACATCAGAATTATAATTTACAATTATTTTACAATTTATTTATAATTTTTTGTCAGGGTGGTTCAAGTTAAAGGCATAATAAATGACACATGACTTAATTCTGGTACTAGAAGACCAAGAAGTACCCGTACCAAAGAGAACATTATTGCTATTGATAGAGTTATTATCAAATGTTTATAAAAATCCCTTAGACGGGTCCTGCATCCTTGGTAAATCTTGTGTTCATAAAATACTCATATTTGATTATAAAATTGATTCCTTACAAGATAAGTATAATGCTTCATTTGAAAGAGAAGAAATTAGAAGTTGTATGAGTTTGCCCATTTGATTTTAATAAGACCCGACTCTGAAAATTTGACAGATGTATGGTTTTCTGAAATACTGTAGAGGCACAAATTTTCGTGGGGATAAAATTTCGTTGATTTGTTATCTAAAATATTTTCGTGGGCATTAAATTTCGTCGTTTTGAAAGAAACCCTAT